GGAGGAAGCATGTGGCACTGCGCTAAAGTCGTCTCACTGACGAACATGTTGACGATATCACTCACCCAAGCACATGAGTCGTCGCATCCATAGTCGCAATCCCCGTTGCAATCTGGCAAGCGCAACGTCAGGTACAACAATCGTGTGTGTGTGTGTGTGTGTGTGTGTGTGTGTGTGTGTGAGCAAGAACGCGTGTGGTGTGTGCACAGGATCCTGTGTAGCAAGCTCGTGTTCCCAGTAACAAGTCAGCAAATGACCTCACAAGCCTATCATTTGCAAGCAAGCATTCATAAGACAAACGCACCATCGTCGCAGCTGTCGTAGCAAATGTCGCAGCCAGAGTCGCATCCGCTGTAGCAGGTATCACAGCCCTCGTCTGAGGTTATGTTGTCAAACACCGCAACGGCTCAAAGTCAGATCATGTTAGTCATCCGTCTTACGTTGCCGTCCAGCACGAGATGTCGCGAAGATGATGCAAGCTTGCAAGTTTGAGAAACGCACCACAGTCACCGTCGCATGATTCATCGCAGGCGTCATTGCAATCGGTGCAATAGTCGCAGCCAGTGTCGCAGCTGCCTGTGAACGGTGGTGAAATGGAACCAACCAAAATGGTGGCAATGCTGAGTCAACGACACAAGCACACGAGTCAACGGCATCACAAGCGTAAAAGCACGCGCTTGCGGTGTGTGATATGCAATGAGACGGTGCTCGAAGCACAACAGTGATTCGCTCTGCACTCACTGTCGCATCCGATGTCATTAATGATGCAACTGGAATCACAGCTGTCATCACAGCTTGAGCAGGACTCCGAGCAGCTCCTGAAGGCCATGGACGTGTGAGACAGCTCATGAGCGGTGGGCAGCAGTAGAAGGTACAGGAACAGAAGAAGAGAAGACAACAACAAAAGCGAGCAAGCGGCCAACATTGACGCGTGTGAACAGCTCCACGCACGCCATGCGATGTTGAACTTACGAGTCGCATCCAAAGTCGCAATAGTGATCGCAGCTGGCAAAGAGAAGCAGGTAAAGGAGAAAGAACAGCGGACAGAAGAACATTCGAGCGGCAACAGGTGAACAGTGTGAGGTCATGCACGTGTTGGGCTGCCTTGCAAGCTCAAACAGGACTCACACGCCAGCATGGTGCACAAGCGATGTGTGCGTGTGCGTGTTTGGAATGCACGGGGATGAGCTTCCTTACCCGTAGTCGTAGCCAGCGTTGCAATAGTCATCACAGTAGTCGTCACAACCACCTGCGTCATGTGGCACAATAACAGCCAAACAGCGCGACTCCTTTTGAGGGCTGTGACACACAGAGAGAAGACGTTAGAGTAGGAGGCAAAGGAAACTCGGACATCATATCTCTAGTCTGCCAGCAAACCCATCTGCGACAGTGCGTGCGCTGTGGCCGACAGTCTTTCAGAACAGGCGTCCCCATCAGCCACAGAGAGAGCGTGACTCGAGCAGGGGACGGAGACAAGAGGAGAGGACAAGCCACGGTGAACCGCACACGCAGACGTGTTCGTGGGTGTGTGTGTGTGTGTTTGCATGAATCTGTGATCGAACACGTGTGCATTGCATATGCGTGATTACGAAAACTGCAAATCAACGCTGCTGGATTCTTGGAATGGACAGGCAGCCACATCACACCGTACCAATGAAACATTGCATTGAAGTATTGAACTGCCCGTAGTTCTTTCGTTCTCTTGTCTGCAGCAACAGCAACGTGAGCTGAGTAACGGTTGGCGATGGATGACCACGCTCCTCCCTTCACACGTGCTCAGCTCCAAGGCAGATTTGACTTTGGGATTGAGCGATTCGTTTGCCCATCTTTGTGACGCATGCGCCTAAATTTTCGCGCCATTGGTCCTCCTCTCAGTCTCTATTTTCTTGTCGACCACAAACCACGCCACTTTCTACCTTCCGTTTCGCTTGGTCGCCTGTTTGCCGTGCTTGCTGTCTGGCTGACGCTGTTGTTGTGGAGCTGCGCAGAGAGAAGTCTTGAACTGGAACCATGCCCCGCCATGTCTGTCGCAAGTGTGGCCGTGAAGTGAAGCACAAGCACAGGAGTGCCCAAGACGGCAGCATCCAGCCATCGTCACACAGGAGGACGACACGCATCATGATACGCAGCAAGCTGACTCTGACGAATGGCTCTCGTGAATACGTCTTCGTTGCTTGCACTGTTGGCGTGTTTGGTTCTTCCTCTTCTTGATTGAGTGGCCTGTAATGATGGCGATTAGCCCTTCAGGCAGCTTGAGTTGTTGAATTGCACATGAGTGGCGAAGACCTTGGTCGTTTGGTGGCTATCTCTAGCGTCTCTCCTTCTCTGTTGGGTGTCTTGTCGACATATCATAAACGAATAAACACCATTATCTCGTCAGGGGAATCAGTTCAGAACATCACAAGCCTTGTTTGTTTGGGAGTCAGTGCCAGCACACGCAACACACGCGTGCACTGACGAAGTGTGGGCAAAGAAGAGGGATGGTGCACGCTGTCTGGATGTTGAATTGCATGCAGTCGACACAAGATGCCGGGTGGTCAACGTAAAGGCCTGTGTGAGTGTGTGGGTCTACTCCACTCGGCAGTCGCGGTGGAACAAAGGAAACAGAAGATACACGAAGCACGCGTACAAAGGTCGATGCAATCGTTCGACACTCACCACATGAGGTTCATCAAAGGAGGCAGAAATCCGCACACACCAAAGGTAAGGACACAGACACAGACACAGACACACACACACACAGAAGTGCACCATGAAGCAATTGCTCACCCTCCTCTGTCTTTCATGCACACAGATCCGTTTGTTTTGTTCCCTACAGCTCCAGCTGAAACCTCTAGCTCTGCGCATTCGCCGTGCACGCAGACATGCATATCCTTTGACAAACCAACAAACCAGTCTTGAACATGGCGCGTGTAACACGTTCGGCACATCGACACGCAAGCAATAAGCTTGCCGGCCTGCGGTCCTGTCGACCAATGCTGTCCACACGCTTGCCCATGAGTGAGGCATTGGGACGCAGAGGCAGGAGTGGAGAGAGGACAATAGCAAGGCAGCAGAATGAAAGTGCAAACACAGAGAGGCGCACAGAGAGGCGCACAACGAGGCGCTGAGACACTGAAGCGAACACACACACACACACACACACTCTCTCTCTCTCTTTTTTTTTTATGCTCGCGCAAGCATACCCTCCCTCCGTCCTTCCTCTCCTCTGCCTCACTTTGGGCGACATCGACACATCAACGAACATACACCTCCATGAAGGCACCATTCGAAGCACTGCCGAGAAAGCCAAGCGCAGACTGCTCTGCGTTGGCGGATGTACGCAAGGGCCTCAGCGACCCAGTTTCGCCCAATGGACGGCGGGCGTTGTGACCAAAACTCCACGCGAAGCCGCGTGTGCTTTCGCCGTACATGGAGTCGGAGCCGTGCCATCGCCATCAACACGTCTTCGTCGCATCGGCTCCCTTTGGCGGACACACGTTGCAGCTTCAGACAGCCGGTGCTGCACGGCACCGGGACGTCTGAGAAGAGGGCTTGAAGGGAATCGCCGGCCAGCGCACCTTCGTGCGCGATCCACTCTCCCGTGTTGGAGACAAACAGCACGTCCACTGCCTTTGGAAACCACGCGTTTCCTTTGAAGTCGTTCTGGGATTCTGCTGTTCAAACGAGTTCTTGGTTTGACCACAGGTTGCAGCGATTCCATGTCCATGTGTTGGTGCCGTCGTTTGAGAAGCGAGCGGCGAGCGTCCACGGGTGTGCACTTTCACCTGCGATCTCCACTTTGCATTTCGTCGTCGCCAAAAAACGTCTGCAATGCCCGAGTCCACGTCGCACCTGAGCGAATTACCGTTGAGCAAGTCTTTCATGCTGGCGATCTCGTCCTGAAGCCTTGCAACGGTGTTGTGCAAGCCTTGCACGTCGACGCCGTTCGGGGTCTGTGGTGTTAATTACCAGCCTGCCGGAATCGTCTTCTTTGAGGACAGCGCCCAACGCCGCAGTCCATTGCGGTGCCAAGAGCCGCTGCCAAGTAGGAGTGTGAAAGGAACAGCATTCACTCTTCCACTGCCTTTGCTGCGAAAACATTGTCAGTTCTGTTCTTGTTGCGTTGTTGAGGTACACGAGGGAGGACGGTGTTTGGTCTTTCTGCTTGAGTTCGCTCACGCTCACGCAAACTTTGTTCTTGCTTGCAGACTTACAGAGCTTGGGGGGGGGGGCTGGTCTTTGAGTGAGTGAGACTTGATGTCAAGAAAAGCAAACAATCTTCAGCACATGGGAGAGTGGCCGGAAAGTGGAGATGCTGAAAGACTGAAAGAGATGCTCAGGGTGTTTGTTCATCCTCACCACATCAGCGAGCTAAAGAGAGAGCTCTAAAGCTGAAGGCCACGAATTCGCGAACAGTACAACAACTCCAAACAACTCGAACACGCAGAAGAACGAGGCGAACGAAGCAAACCCCATTGACCCGTTCGTTCGCTGTCCCACCCACCGAGCGCACCGTTGTCTCATCTTCGCCTTTGTTCGATCCATCCAATGGGGACAAACCGGGACAGCCTTGCGGGCTTGCTCACGATACACGGGAAATTTTCTCCCACTTCGTTTGTGCTATTGTTGCCCAGCGTCCCACACCTTGGCTTTCAGGCCTTTTGTGTGCTTGTGCGTTGTTTCGCTTGTTGTCCCTCCACCTCTCCTGAGGCTTTCCCCTCACAATTTGCCAGAGCAAGCCTTCATTCACCCTTCCACCCCGAGCACCTGAGCACCTCCCCGGCGGCTTGACCTGTTGGCTGACGCCAGGACAGAAGACTGCACTGCACACCCCCTGAGCACCTGAGCACCTCCCCGGCGGCTTGACCTGTTGGCTGACGCCAGGACAGAAGACTGCACTGCACACCCACACACACACACACACACACACACACACACACACACACACACATCTGAAAACAACGACGACGAGATGCCATCCTCCTCCGTCCTCCTCCGTTTTCAGGACTGTGGCCATTATGGCGGCGGCGATTGTCCTTGTAACGGCGACGGGCGGCTTCCAGGGCGTGCTTGGGCAGGAGGAAGCTGAGGGCTCATGCAGCGCAATTTACCGCCAGTGTTCCGCCGCATCCCTCGCCCAAGTGTGCGGACACAGCGATGACGACCTACCGCTGAGCTTTGGTCACTCATTTTGTCAAAGGTTTGAGCGCGGATTCAACGACTTCACTGGGCGTGGCCGGCGGTGGGTGCGATCCACAAAGCAGTGCTTGCAGGGCAAACTGGATGCCTATTTCCGCTCAAACCCAAACAGCCGTTGCCGCACATTGAGCGCGACAGAGTTTGAGTCGCACCTGTCATGCTACACACAGGCATCAAAGAACGCCTGCAACCTCCGTCCGATTGACAGGCAGCGGATACTAGAAATCGTGACACGCGAATACAATGAATTCCAGACGACCTCCACGATTCGTCAAGGTCTGCAGACGGCGTTCAGTTGCCTCGGGTCCTTCGGAGCACCCAACAACAGGCATCAGCAAGTCAAGCCTCTGCTCGGCTTCGGGGCAGGTGTCTGGGACTGGCTTTGGCGCCATCGGCGGTCAGTACCGTCCATCTCTGCTTCGATGGCCAAGTCTGTGGAACAGCAGCTGGCTCAGCAGCTGGGCATCACGCCTGAAAGCATTCACATCACCGTGAAAACCATGGGTACCGCCACCAACATCTTCAGCGACCTTGCCAGCAACATGACGAACGCAAACGCCACAGCACGCGCCCAGGATGCTGATGACTCTGGGCCCCACTTTGCGGTTGTCATTGACATCTCCGATAAGCAAGGGCATGCGGACAGGTTGGCAGCGCGGGCGACTGCGCTCATTGAGAACGGCGACATTGACCTTCGCCCCATTTTTGCCGATACGGACATGCGACAGCATCTTCGTTTGACGGGCTTTGAGGTCTCTCAAGAAACCATGCTGCAGACGGCCAATGACAAGGTCGCCTCTTCCAGCTCAACAACACCGACCGTCATCATTGTTGGCTCCGTCATTGGTGTTCTCTTGCTCGTCGTGATTGTCCTTCTTGCACTCGTGATGAAGGCGCTCAAGAAACAAGACCTCGCGCGCGACAGGCCCCTCGAGGAACACTTGCTCTGATCACGCTCGCCGTGTTTGCTCGCGAAGTTTCTTTCTCCATCCGTTACCATCCCTCTCTCTGACCAGCAGGGCCAGCAGTTGCCTTCAAGACCAATCAATCACACGTGTGAATAGTGTGAATGGTGAAGGGCGACTTGTGTCGGGGTTGTTCTGCTTCTGTGTTCTGTCTGTCTGTCCATGTGTGCGTGTGTGTGCCTGTCTCTCTGTGTGTGTCTCAGTCTCTGTTCCTCTCTCTTTGTTACAGTCGAGGTTGTTACAATGTTACTTGCTCTCTTGCTCCTTCCTTTGCAGCTGCTTCTCAACCTCATCCACTTTGCCTCACTATCGATGGAAGAAGGAGAATGAATGACACAATGCCAATCTCAACACTTCCAACCAAGCAAGGAAGATCTTTGTGTGGTGTGTGTGTGTGTGGTGTGTGTGTGTGTGTGTGTGTGTGTGTGTGTGTGTGTGTGTGTGTGTGTGTGTGTGTGTGTGTGTGTGTGTGTGTGTGTGTGTGTGTGTGTGTGTTCATTTCACTGCAACCACTGCGACTGCTGCTGAAACGTGCACATGTTTTCACACAATTGTCCACAACCGCAGCACCAAATGCATCCAACCAACGAAGTGCGTGCAAGCAGCTGAAACGTGCACATGTTTTCACACAATTGTCCACAACCGCAGCCACACACACACACACACACACACACACACACACACACACACACACACACACACACACACACACACACACACACACACACACACGCGATAGGGGTGTGCCAGTGTGCCACACTTTCCTCCTCCTCCTCCTCCTCCCTCACTCTCGTCCCTTTCCTTCGCATGATGGAGCAGAGAGCGGCATGTCCACCACAACAAACGAGGCCAGGCCATGCACGCGTGCATGCAAGACGAAGCAAAGGTGAATGAACGCGCCTTCTAGCCTCACGCCCACAGCACAGTGCAATGTGAGTGCGGACCGTGCAGCTCTTGCTCACTTGCAAAGCAAGGCAAGCAAACAAGCAAGCAAGCGTACGTGCATCAAAATGAAGCTTGTGCCTGAGCACAGCCGGAAAGGTATGAAGGCTTTGCTGTTCCTGCTTTCATTGCTTGCATGCAAGCATGCGTGTTGTGTGTGTGTGCGTGTGTGTGTGTGTGCATGCGAGCACTTGGTAGTGCAGCTCATTAGCTCGCTCACATATGTGCATCCCTTTCACCACAAGTCGTTCGTTGCTCGTTGTCTTACTTCTTCCTCCACAATCACGTTAACAGGCTGTGCGCTCTCTTCTCAAGCATGGGCAAACACGCCCAACTCAGTGTGCTGCACACGATGGAATGCATGTTCGTTTAAGCTCACACGTGTGCGTGTGTGTGTGCGTGCGTGTGTGCGTGCGTGTGTGCGTGTGTGTCTCATCACAACTGGTGCAGCTTGTGAACTGCTCGTGATCGTGCATGTCGTTTCGTTTGTGTTCTTGTGGGTTACGCGTGGCCGTACTTGCTCTTGCTGCCAGTCACGGCCCTTATTCCGTTGTTGGTGCTGCACCTCCTGCACTCCTGTCCTCCTGCACTCCTGCGCATGGCTCACGATGTGATGTGTTACTGCCTCCGTTCCATCCGTCGGTTGTGTTCGATGCAGAACAGTGGGGTATGAGCGACAGATGACAAAAGCGAGGCACTGCTGCGGCTGCTGCGGCTGTCGTTGCTGCTGTCACACCCGCAGACTACGAACTGCACCATAGAGGTACAAAATCAACCCCGTCTGAACGCATTTGTGCGCGCCATGCCGCTGCCGCTGTCGTTGCTTGTGAGGCTTTAGCCAAACTCACCAGCCATCATGCGGTTTTGTGCTTGTGATCCTCCATTGTTGTGCGCGCGTGTGTGCACGTGTGCACGTATCGTCGTGACGGGTCCACCATGCGCAAGTGCTCACTTGCAGCGCTCCTACTCTCGCTCAATGTTCACTGTTGCACCCTCACCGTTCTCTTCTCTCATGTCATCTTCTCTCGTCTTACAACTCGTCGCCCTTTAAACACCCGACACGGGATACGTTCCCACATCCTACCACTCTCGCTGCTGCCACAAGCATGCCGTCGCTTGCTGCAGCTGTCGCTGCTGTCGCTGCTGTGATGCACAACCTGCCCGACCTCTGAGGAGCCATGAGCGCAGAATGCTCATCGTTACTTGGCATGGCCTCCCGCACAGCTGCCTGCTCACCAGTGCAGACACTGGTGACCCCCGAACGGCGAGCATGAAGGAGG